TCTAGCTGTCTTTACGTCCCTCCTTCTCCTCTCTCAGCTGAGTTTCATGTATGTAGTCATCAGATCTGCACCCACACAGAACAGGTCAGGATTTCATTGCTCTCACTGTTGATGGTTTTTCAATGCACTTGCTGCACACACGCATACTGTCATAGTTTAATCAAATCTGTGACGCAAACCTTAAATTTCATTGAATAGTTTTACATTGTGCAGCTTCTAAAAATGTGTATTATGCACTCAGGAAAATTGATAATACATTTGATAACTTTGCAAACTTGTGTTTTTCTCTCAAAACCTAGAATTTCTAGAATACTGTGTTGAATAAGTTTAAACGTATTGTCTGTACACTGCTACAGGTGTAACTGATTTTGTATGGTAACCTGCATTTAAAAAAAAATTTATTCATAATTTAGCTCTTTTATTGCAGATGTTGACAGACATTGTTTGTCTTGCGATTTAATAAGCTACTAACATATAGGCAGTTACGTTGGTCTGAATGTAATTTATTTAGCTCACACACAACCCTCTGTGGATCAGCTGACATACTCGACTTTCTTTCCCACAGACGTGCAAAACTCTCACTGACATACACTGAAAACTGTCAAATCTGTCCATGCGCAGATAAAAACTCTTGCATGAACCATCTGCTTGATGATTGAGCTGTCAAACATTCATACTATCATACATAGTTTCCACAACTTGATTTCATGAGCCCCAGTCCCAGTTTTCTCCACCCTTCTTTTTTTCTCTCTCTCTTTCTCTCTAGCTGTCTTTACGTCCCTCCTTCTCCTCTCTCAGCTGAGTTTCATGTATGTAGTCATCAGATCTGCACCCACACAGAACAGGTCAGGATTTCATTGCTCTCACTGTTGATGGTTTTTCAATGCACTTGCTGCACACACGCATACTGTCATAGTTTAATCAAATCTGTGACGCAAACCTTAAATTTCATTGAATAGTTTTACATTGTGCAGCTTCTAAAAATGTGTATTATGCACTCAGGAAAATTGATAATACATTTGATAACTTTGCAAACTTGTGTTTTTCTCTCAAAACCTAGAATTTCTAGAATACTGTGTTGAATAAGTTTAAACGTATTGTCTGTACACTGCTACAGGTGTAACTGATTTTGTATGGTAACCTGCATTTAAAAAAAAATTTATTCATAATTTAGCTCTTTTATTGCAGATGTTGACAGACATTGTTTGTCTTGCGATTTAATAAGCTACTAACATATAGGCAGTTACGTTGGTCTGAATGTAATTTATTTAGCTGAGAGATGTTTATACGTTGTTTCTGGATTCGATATCGCAGTTGCTTTAAAATTATAATTGGTTTCTTCCATTCTGACTGCCTTGACTGAGATGTGAGCCCCATTTTCCTTTTGAGGAAACTGCTTGCGAAGTATAGTACATGTTATAGAAGCATAATTGTGAGTTGGGGTAATATAAAGAGCAGAGATGGAGATGATCTTGGTGGGTTAATTATAGCCTGTGTTGCATTTCCAGGTCATGTATAGTGTTTTGACAGTGTGTTATATCTCAAATGACTGTAACTTGCACAACAAAATGTGAATCCAAACACCTTTACTGAGTATCTAGTTTTATATCTGCAGAACAGTTTATAGTCACACTGCATAATCTGTATTTTTACTTGTGTATTGACTTTAAGTTGAATATATGGAATTAAGTTGATTTTTATTACAATATTTTTTGTTTTAAGCTTAAAGCCTGCTATATTTATTACATGTATGCTTTTTAAGAACAAGATATTTTTTAATGTTTTGAATTAAGTCTTGTACTCTCCAAGACTATTTTATCAAACAGTAAAAAAAAAAAAAGTAATTTCTATTATATTTTTAAATGTATTCAGATTTTTGTGCTTAAGAAGCATTTCTTAAGTTTTTTTTTTTAGGATTCTTTGATGAATAGAAAGTTAAAATATAATTGATCTGACATTTTTTGTATCAATGTAAAACTCTTTAGTGCACATTTGATCAGTTTATTGCATCCTTGCGGAGTAAAAATGCTCTTTCAAAAGAAAAGAAAAGAAAAAGCTTACTTCAAGATTTGCTGACAGGGCAAGCTTAATTAAAAAATAAACTTATATATATATATATATATATATATATATATATATATTCTAGTGTCTTGAATGTTCTAGAAAAAAATTTGAATTAATTATCGTTAAAATGTATTCTTTTAATTAATATTTAAATTATTATTATTATTTGTTTGTACTATATTTTACTATACAGATATAATTTTAGCTAATTCAAAAATGTATGCCGTGGCATGTTTGTGAGTTTTTTTTAATGCTATAATTTTGGCTATGGGCCACATGCTTGTTGTATTCTTATTGCTCCTGTGCGGGTGATTGGCCTCAATGAGCCTTGTCTTGTAGTACTGCCTCCCTGCACGGGTACAGTGATAACCAGTGTTGAGCAGTAACTAGTTACTAGTAACTTAGTTACTGTAATAATATTACTTTTTGCAGTAACTAGTAGTGTAACTAATTACTAATAAGATTTCAGTAATATTACATTTACCATCCATAAAACAGCTTAGTTATGTTTGATGCCTCAACCCCGCTGATTTAAAATCCAAAAATCAAATAATTCCTAGATTTATTTTCATAATTTTCACGACTCACACATGCATGTGATGTCCCCAGTGCAGCAGGCAAGCTTGGAATATGGAAAAGCTTACATTCAGCAGATAGAAATATTGCATTTATATTTATTTTGTCAGGAAAAAAGATGATCTGAGGCTGAGCACTGTTGTGTAAGTTTTTAGAGTAAAGTAAAGCCACATTACATCCCACCCACATCCCTCTGATCAGCATGTGGTACATTATATTACTATAATTAAAACCTTTTGGAAAATTTGGAAAAGTTTCTTACGAACTTATGATTTGATCAAATACATAATGAAATATAATCTTATATGGGCAACGGAGAAATTACAATTAGCTTCAAGCTACACATGACAATTAATGAGATTAATACAACACGTCTATTTGAATGTCACGATTAATCACTATTGAGTGTTTGTAATAACTTCTGACTGCGATCCAGTGTGGATTTTGGTCAAATGATGAGGCAGAAATATGTTGTTGGTAACATTCTAGAAGAATTTTATGTGGAAGATACACAGTTACAACTTCTGTGGGGCATGAAGAAAAAGTAATATAACTAGTAGTGTAACTAATTACTGTTTCCAGAAAGTAATAAGTAAAGTCACAATATTACTTTTGAAAGGAGTAACTAGTAATGAGTAATATATTACATTCTTTGAGTAACTAGCCCAACACTGATGATAACAACTTTAGACCCTCTGTTGTTTTGCCGGTCATACATGAATTAACACCTACTGCTCCAACTGGCTCCTCTTTTCGCCTCTATTCTCAACAACCTTGTGTTTCATCCCTCAGTCTGTTCAGTCTATGCTAAACTCTTCCTGCTCTCGCATCTTTTTTTAGAGTAGCGGAATGGCGCACACCTTGAAACTCTGTCCATAGATCTAATAGTTCTCTGTACATGTAATGCTGGGGTATTTATGAGGCCTTAAAATGGCACAGATCAAACAGGCAGGGCTAAAGTGGGCTGAGTTATGCGGGTATGTGTTGATATCTTGGAGTTGCATCTGGCATAGCTAATTCTTAGACAATGTGACCTAATCGTGACCCATATTAATCTTCTCTGTAAGCGTACTGCCTGTTTGTTTACTCAACAGAGGACAAAGGTATAATGTTGTTTTCAAGGTATTAAAGGGATAGTTCACCCAAAAATGAAAATTCTGTCATTTACTCACCTTCAAGCTGTTCCAAATCTGTATGCATTTCTTTCTTCTGCTGAGCACACACACACAAAAGATTTTGAAGAATGCTGGTAACCAAACAGTTGCTAGTGCACATTGACTTCCATAGTATTTTTTCCATACTATGGAAGTCAGTGGGGACCATCAACTGGTTGTTGATCTCTGATAAATGAAGCCTTTACAGGTTTGGAACAACTTGAGGGTGAGTAAATGATGGCAGTGTTTTGAGTTTTGGGTGAACTATCCTTTTAAGGCTGTTCTCAATGCCACAAATTACTGAATTAGTTGTGACCTTAAAGAGAAATTAAAAAATAAAATTTTATTTAATAAATGCTGTAGTGTATGCAACTGCAAACTGTCTTGTTTCTAGTAAAAATATCACGGGTGTAAAAAAAAAAAAAACACACTTTCCAAGGTTCTCTAAAAACAAGACATGTTGCTTTTAAATAGTAATTTTAATTGTAATTTCATTAGATATTTAAAAAAAAGTTAATTTAAATGAAAAGCTTAATTTTTTTAGGCTTTTGTCGTGAATGAACAAAATCTACACAAATTACAATAAACAAAATAATAACAATTTCATCCTTATTGTATTGTTTGAATTAAATTAAAACTTTAGAATTGAGTTAAAATTCAAATAATTAGAAGTAGTAAGTATCAGTAGTAATAGTTGTTCTACCCCATTGGCAAATTATAAAAAATAAATAAAAATAGTGACTAAAGGGAAAGATCAATTGTAGATCTCTGATAAATGTATTCTTCAATCCTTCTGCTATTTACTCTGTTTTGAATACTAGTCTTTTTTTTCCTCTTTTTTTTCCTGCAGGTTCATCAAAAAAAAGGAATGCATCATCTTTTCACAGCTCTATAAGGCCTCGATCCAGTGTCTCATCAAGTCATTCTTTTCATCTACCCATTATTCCTGTCTAGTTCGTTATCAAACCGTCTTGTGTTTGTAGACGGCAGTTAATTCCCACTCTACGCTCTTCAGAAATGACCCCCTGTCACTTGAATTTCTTGCACGCTGGATTCTTTTTAAATCACAGAGCATTGTAATCATTTCCTGTTCCTTTTTGAGCTTTCTATTAATATACTTCTTTTTTTTCCTGCAGGTTCATCAAAAAAAAGGAATGCATCATCTTTTCACAGCTCTATAAGGCCTCGATCCAGTGTCTCAAGTCATTCTTTTCATCTACCCATTATTCCTGTCTAGTTCGTTATCAAACCGTCTTGTGTTTGTAGACGGCAGTTAATTCCCACTCTACGCTCTTCAGAAATGACCCCCTGTCACTTGAATTTCTTGCACGCTGGATTCTTTTTAAATCACAGAGCATTGTAATCATTTCCTGTTCCTTTTTGAGCTTTCTATTAATATACTTCTCTGCGTGCTCATCTATCCGTCCGCCTAACTCCAGACTCTCTAGTCTCCTGTTTTTTGCTTTAGTTATTTGTTTGTCCCCTTTCTTGACTTTTCCTCTGGGAATTTCCTCCTCTCATCTCCAACTATTGTGGCTGTCATGTGGTCCAACTTTTTTTTGCAACAGGAAGATGACGGGAGAGTAGGTACGGCGGCTTTGGGTGGAGTTGGCGGTAAGGGCGGGCGTTCAGGTAAACGGCCAAAGCCCCCTCGAATGAGTGACAGCCAGGAGGGCAAGATCAAGCTGGCATTTTTTGTCGCCCTCATAGGCGTGACTCTGACGGTACTTGGCATGGGTACAGAGTTCTGGGTGGAGTTATCTCAGCCAAAACACTCCAGGAACAACCAGACATGTGAGATGGCACATTACGGCCTTTGGAAATTATGCGTTCGCACGTTATGGGTGTCAGATATTGACCCGGAGAGAGAGAGCTGTGGACCTGCAGAACTACCTGGAGGTGAGAGCACATACTCACTCACTCACTCACCCACCCACCGTCTATATTCAGAACAGAATACTACCATACTTCTCTCACTGTTATGCAAAATTTCTGTTTGTGTAACATCTGGATGAACTGCTGCATACTGTATCCCACAATGCAGTGTGCTCGAATTGTAATATGTGCTGTGAATTTTAACATCTGTTTCTTGACTTGGCTCCCTATTTAAACATATAGTCTCTTAAGCTCACCAAGGCAAAAATACAGTAAAAAAAACGATTACAGTTTAAAAGAACTGCTTTCTATTTACTTTAGTCTTCAGTGTCACGTGATCCTTCAGAAATCATTCTAATATGCCGATTTTGTTCTCACTTGTTATCAGTTATTACTCCCCACAAGAAAGTTAAGCAGTATAGCTGTTTGTAACATTGATTATAATTAGAAATATTTGTTGAGCAGCAAATCAGCATGTTAGAATGATTTCTGAAGGATCATGTGACACTGAAAAGACTGAAAATGTAGCTTTGCATCACAGGAATAAATGGAATTTTAAAATGGAAACCAGTTCTTTTAAATTGTAATAATCATAAAAAATTATTGTTTTTATTGTATTTTTATTAAATAAATGCAGCCTTGGTAAGCATAAGAAACTTTTTTTTAAAAAAGAAGAAAAAAAAGAATTATTTAGGTATATATAATATAATTATTAATTATTAACATAAAAATGTGATTTATTTCCAAGATATGATACTTGTACACTACTTGATAAATTAAACATGCGGCATAATGCTGTTAAAAGCATTTCTTGTTGCATAATGCATTCTGTTTCACATACTATTTTTAAAAAGTTGCACAGTGTAGAATTCAGTAGACAGTATGATAGTTTTCTATTCTGAATATAGTCACCATATTACACACACGGTCTACCAAACCAGTGTGTTATTTGTTTGGCTCCTGGGGAAACTGGAGGCTGAAATCATGAGATAAAAATACAAAATAATATGGAACAATAAAGAAATTATAAAGTTTACTAAATTAATAAACGCATACACAAAAGAGTTTTAGGCTATTGTTGGAAATGTGAGCACATTATATAGTATTCGTATATGTATGTAGCAGGAGGAGCAAATTATGCATAATTGTTTTTAAAGACACAAAGCAGCATTCAGCACACCTACAGTCAAACAGTGATGTTATTAATGACTGTTGACTTTCTGAGACGCAGTACTAACTGCTTAGTGTTCTGGTTTGTGATATTAATCTTACCTCTCACATAACAACACGCATGAACAGAGAGCCAGGGAGCTTCATTTGCCTCAGTTTGTAAGGCCCAGACGACTGTGATGATGTCTCTTGTAACAGTGCCACTGGTCCGACTGCCAGCTCTGTTAAGGAACAGTTCCACACTCGGATCATAACATGACGCCCCTTTAGCTGAGAATGCAGAACAGCAAATTTTGGGAAATTTGGGAAAAGATTTGGGAAAGATTTGTCCAATTCAGAGAAAAGGCAACTAGTTTGGTTTCTGCATCGAACATATTACATACTGTTAATGATAACTAAAATTTCTTAATGATTTAATGCTGCAACCCTGCCATAGAGATGCCTTGATTTAATTCTCAGTTATGACTTCCATGATGCATTTTTAAGAGATCTGTTCAATATTACATTACCAGCTCTATGCTAATCATATCTAGTGCAGCTCACAGCAGTGACCTTATTTGAATGTGCATGTGTGTGCCGAGTACATGTATTTAAATTAGACTGACAAAATAATTTAGTACAATTATAATATATATTTATTTAAACATTAGTATTTTTACATTTATGTAAATATATAAAACATTGAAATTATATTTATTTGTCTAATTATAAAACATGAAATATTTAAATATTAGCATATTTAATCATGCCCTTTGACCCCTACGGAAATAGTGTGCACATAAAAATTTTTCATTCCATATTGAAAAGTGATGTTTAAATTCTTTTAACTTGACAAAGTCTCTTGAAATGTGACTTTCTTGGTGAGATATGCTAGAAAAAAGCAACAAGATACAACAAAATGGGCAAAAACATGACTGCGATTCATGTGTAGCTAAACAAACAGCATAGGTGGGAAATGCAAGAATGTGTTGTTTGACCCTAAATCAACTTTGAATGAATTGACAAAATATTGATTGCTGTGGACTGTAGGTCAGTGATTGGTTTATGTTCACTGGTGTGAAAATAAAACAAACAATATATTGACTTCTAAAGACACTTTATTTATGTCTAGTTAAAGCTTACAATGATAGCTTTGAATAATGTTTGAATTTTCTCCGTTTGGGGGCTTTTCTCAGCAAATATTTGTATATGCAATCATTTGTGACTAAATCAATGAAGTAATTTGAATATAATTGTTTTTAATTATATATAATTGCTTTTAAATATGATAAAAGAATGTAAAAGCACATAAAATCTCCAAAATAAAAAAGATGTATGTATAAAATGTATGTATATGTGTATGATTAGATTTTTTTTTTTTAGCTACAGCCGTGGCCAAACGTTTTGAGAATGACACAATATTAATTTTCACAAAGCCTGCTGCCTGAGTTTTTATGATGGCTATTTGAGACTAAATCAATGAAGTAATTTGAATATAATTGTTTTTAATTATATATAATTGCTTTTAAATATGATAAAAGAATGTAAAAGCACATAAAATCTCCAAAATAAAAAAGATGTATAAAATGTATGTATATGTGTATGATTAGATTTTTTTTTTTAGCTACAGCTGTGGCCAAACGTTTTGAGAATGACACAATATTAATTTTCACAAAGCCTGCTGCCTGAGTTTTTATGATGGCAATTTGCATATACTCCAGAATGTTATGAAGAGTGATCAGATGAAGTCCCTCTTCGCCATGAAAATTAACTTAATCCCAAAAACATTTCCGCTGTATTACAGCCTTGCCACAAAGGGACCAGCTGATATCATGTCAGTGTTTCTCTCGTTAACACAGGTGAGAGTGTTGATGAGGTAAAGGCTAGAGATCACTCAGTCATGCTGATTGAGTTAGAATAACAGATTGGAAGCTTTAAAAGGACGGTGGTGCTTGAAATCATTGTTCTTCCTCTGTTAACTATGGTTACCTGCAAGGAAACATGTGCAGTTATTGCTTTGCACAAAAAGGGATTCACAGGCAAGGATAATGCTGCTAGTAAGATTGCACCTAAATCAATCATTTATCGGATCATCAAGAACTTCAAGGGGAGAGGTTCAGTTGCTGTGAAGAAGGCTTCAGGGCACACAAGAAAGTTCAGCAAGCGGCAGGACCGTCTCCTAAAGTTGATTCAGCTGCGGGATCGGGGCACCACCAGCGCAGAGCTTGCTCAGGAATGGCAGCAGGCAGGTGTGAGTGCATCTGCACGCACAGTGAGGCCAAGACTTTTGGAGGATGGCCTGCACTCTTAAGAAAAATGGTTCTAAACAGTACCAGAAAAGGGTTCTTCGGCTTGTAACAATAGCAGAACCCTTTTTAGTGCTAAATAGAACCTTTTTTATAGGGTTCCATATAGAACCATGCTTTGAAAATGCCATATAGGACCTAAATGGCGTTATAAATAACCTTTTTAATGATAGTTTTTCATTAATATAATATTTGTATATATTATTTACTAATATTGGCCTTATAATATCTTTAAGTGTCTATTAAGGTTTTACATAAAAACAACGTGTCCATTAGGTACATTTTATTTTTTTCATGACATGAAATTGTAGCAAAAATGACAGTGTTCTAACAGTTATTAGCATAATGCATTAGTGAATGAAAATTGACATTGAACATAAGTAAATGCTAAAATAATTCAAACAAAATATAACATGAAATAGTGTATTGAAGACGAGCTCCAGTGACATCACTTCTTGATGCCTTCAAGTTAATCATTATCTGTATTTTGGTGTGATTGAATGGCAGTTTCTCTCTGCTGATGATGAGGTTGTAGGATGTGATAGCATCTGGAATGCACAATTGAGTTTAGATATTTGTTTGTGTGAAAGCAGTTGTTTATGAAGGCCAAAAGTATGTGAGCACTTCACAATGTTAAAAGGAAGAAGTAATATAAAGTCATGGGCAGGGTGCGAACTACGGGGGAGCTAGGAACAGCTCGGCTCCCCTTAATAAGACGTGGGCTCCCCTGAAAACGTGATTTGTGAAATTTTGGGGGGTCTCAAAAAATATTGACAATGTGTTATTTTGACGTGCAATTTCAGTTTGGTGTAATGTGATCATCGTGGATTATTATGTGTAAAATTGCAAAAATATCGGTGAAAGTTGATGTATTTCCTCAGCGACCAGCACGGATCAGCTCCAGGCATGACGAAGCGGATATCGTCCTCTTTTGGAAGGCCAAACAAAGTGGTTTCGCTTTCACAAAGAAACACACAGCGCCTTCACGACATGGCGGCGGCGGCAACAACAATACTACAGCGAGAATAAAAGTTAAGCCTTCTTTCTTTGCGTGAACATTTGGGCGGTGTTATGCAAATCTTCCCACATCGTGACGTAGACATGTGGGGGCGTGTTAGAACGAGCCGTTTTAGGTAGGGGTGGTTGAGAGTGTACGCAGGGTGCGAACTACGGGGGAGCTAGGAACAGCTCGGCTCCCCTTAATAAGACGTGGGCTCCCCTGAAAACGTGATTTGTGAAATTTTGGGGGGTCTCAAAAAATATTGACAATCTTTTATTTGACGTGAAATTTCAGTTTTGTGTAATGTGATCATTGTGGATTATTATGTGTAAAATTGCAAAAATATCATTCATGCATGACGGCGATTTAAACCTAATTCACTTCAATAAAGATAACTATACATGCTATTCTTGTCATGAGCAACGCTGCAGTGCAAATTCCACTCATGTTTAGTATGTTAACTCAAAGATTCGTAGAAAAAATATAAACGTTGGACTCTGTGGTCGATTCTGTGTTAAGGTAAGGCATGTTATTCACAATTATGTGTTGTGACTGGGTTGTTAGTGACTCGATGTCTTAGGCCTAATTGAACGGAGGAAATATGGTATTATGGTATAAAGCCTGATGTTTTGTACATAGACTATTTGTAGGTGGCGGTTTGCTGTTTGCCCGAACCCCCTCCACCACCCAACCCCCCTTATAAAAAAAAAACAAGTGGGCTCCCCCAAAGTCCACGGTACAGTTCGAACACTGGTCATGGGATAGCTGGATATGTTTATGCGTAAACCTAGTAATAAAAAAAATCTTTAAATGGACCATAAATTCAGTAGCTTTGTTACTTAGTGAAGAAGAGGAGAGTAGTATCCTTAACAGAATAGAGCTTACATGTTCTCTTAAAGGGGTCATATGATGCAATTTCAATTTTTCCTTTCTCTTTGGAGTGTTACAAGCTCTTGGTGCATAAAGAAGATCTGTAAAGTTGCAAAGACTAAAGTCTCAAAACCAAAGAGATATTCTTTATAAAAGTTAAGAGTCAGCCACACCTACCTAAAACACGCCCCCACATACCTACGTCACAATCTGGGAAGATTTGCATAACGCCGCCCAAATGTTCACGCAAAGAAAGAAGGCTCTTATACAGCTTTTATTCTCGCTGTAGTATTGTTAACGTTGCAGCCATGTCCTAAAGACGCTGTGTGCTTTGTTGTGAAAACGAAACTACTTTGTTTGGTCTTCCAAAAGAGGACGATATCTGCTTTGTCATGCCTAGAGCTGATCTGTGCTGGTCGCTGAGGAAATACATCAACTTTCACCGTGGACAAAGCGGAGTCCAGCCCGCCTCAGCTCACTCTATCCCAGCCTCAGCGCACGCTAAGCCGGGGCTTCCCCTCACGCTAGGCCACTGTTTTTCGTTGCCACTGATGACTCAAACGTGAGCTTTGAGCAGTGTAGAGTAGCACTTGTTGTTTGTCATTTCTCCGATCACAAATGCAGACAGTTTTATGTTTACGTGGTGCAACTGGATAGCTGGCCAACCACAGCACACCTCGCTTTTCAAAACGATGAGCTTTGTAAAAACCGACGCGTTTCAAAAAGACGGGGCATAGAGGAAAAACAAGAATGTACAATATGTGGAAAATAATGTGTTTTTTGAACTTTAAACGCATAAACACATTTCATTACAACCAAATACACAAAATAATGTTCTTTTTAGCAGCATCATATGACCCCTTTAAACTAAAAAGAGAAAAGACAGAAAAATCCATTAACATTTGAAATGTATAATTTATAGAAATTTTAAGAAATAAATTATTTACCTGTTGAGAGTGTGCTGACAGTCTGTGTAGTTTGATGGCTGAGCTCCAGAAAATCAGTAATGAGGCATCTTAGAGTGTAGCCTCGGTTAGGGTTTTACATTAAAACAACAACAATAACCAGAACAGCAGCATGTTGTGTGAATTAAGTATGTTTTTATTGACATTGCACATGAATAAATACATAAAGTAAAACAAAAAATAGATGTGATGAAGAAAGAAGTTTCAGTGAAACAATCACAATCCTCTATGATGCCTTTAAGTCCATCATTTTGGTGTGATTAAGTGGCGATTTTTCTCTGCAGATGATGAGGTTGTAGGATGTGATACATCTGTGGAGAAGAGGAGAGAAGTTTCCACAGCTTAGCAGAGTTGCACACACTTATGTGACCAAAAACTAAAAAAAGATAAGAACATGTTTGTTTGGAAACCAGTTACAATTTTAAAGTTAAAATTGTGTTTAAATTTAAGAATGAAATAATTTACCTGTTAAGAGTGTGTTGGCAGTCTGTGTAGTTGGATCACTGAACTCCAGAAAATCAGAAATGAGATGCTTTGTCAGTTACAGATTTGAAAAACAAAAGAGCGGGAATAAAGAACCCTAAACTCTTAACACAAAGAACCGTTTCAGCAGAAAAGGGTTCTTCAGAATGCTATGGTTCTTAATAAAACCATTACTGCATGCAAAGAACCTTTAAAGAACCATCTTTTTTTAGGGTGTGGTGTCAAGAAGAGCAGCAAAGAACCCACTTCTCTCCAGGAAAAACATCAGGGACAGACTTGATATACTCCAAAAGGTACAGGGTTTGGGCTGCTGAGGGCTGGGGTAAAGTCATTTTCATTGTATGGGGCATCCAGAATAAAGCTTGTTCGGAGAAGAAAAGGTGAGCGCTACCATCCAGTCCTGTGTCATGCCAACAGTAAAGCATCCTGAGACCATTCATGTTCTCAGCCAAGGGAGTGGGCCCACTCACAGTTTTACCTAAGAACACAGCCATGAATAAAGAATGGTACAAATACATCCTCCGAGAGCAACTTCTCCCAACCTCCCAAGAACAGTTTGGTGATGAACAACGCCTTTTCCAGCATGCTGGAGCACCTTGCCATAAGGCAAACGTGATAACTAAGTGGCTCGGGGAACAAAACATCAAAATATTGGGTCCATGGCCAGGAAACTCCCTAGACCTTAATGCCATTGAGAACTTGTGGTCCATCCTCAAGAGGCGGATGGACAAACAAACGCCCACAAATTCTGACCAACTCCAAGCACTGATTATGCAAGAATGGGCTGCCATCAGTCAGGATGTGACCTAGAAGTCGATTGACAGCATGCCAGGGCAAATTGCAGAGGTCTTGAAAAAGAAGGGTCAACACTGCAAATACTGGGTCTTTGCATAAACTTATTGTAATTGTCAATAAAGGCCTTTGACACTTATTCAGTTCTTGTAATTATACTTCAGTATACCATAGTAACATCTGACAAAAAGATCTAAAAACACTGTAGCGGCAGACTTTGGGAAAATTATTATTTGTGTCATTCTTAAAACTTTTGGCCACGGCTGTATTATGACAATATACACTTTGATCATTATCATTTTTAATTAGGTGAAAGTTATGGAAAAGATGGTCAAAGTTAAAGCAGAAAGGTAGTCATATTGCGCATGGATAAACTGCAATCTGACTGCTGCCCGGTTTCAAGTCTAAATATAGAGGACATGAGTGAAAAAAATGGAAATGTAAGAAGACAACAGACAAGATGCAGAGGACAAGAGAGAGTGAATGTGGATTTGATGTTGTATATATTAACCTATGTATGTTCTTCCTTTTTCTGCCCTTCGTCCTCTCTTTCCATCTGCCTCACTCTCGTTCCCTCCCTCTCCATCTGCTTCGTTCTCCGTCTCTCTTGTTCTTTCAGTGCCATATGTGAGAGGGCTGCTCTGTGTCCTCTGTACATTAATACACAATGACCCTCACAGGGCTTCCAGAGAGCTCAAGTGCCTTTTTTTAGTTTTTCTGACTGATCTTTATTCTTCACCTTCACTGTCTCATTCTTTTCTCTCACTGTCTCATTTTTCGCCCTCAGAATCAAACTGCACATACTTTAAATTCTACACTTCTGGAGAGAATGCTGTCATATTTAAGAAAACAACAGAAAAACGTAAGTTCTTCCTGTATAGTCTGCTCTCTTTCCTCTCTGCCATCGATGTGCTCTCTCGTCTATTCATTCTCTCTCCTACCACGCTGTTTCTCTCATTGAAAATTAGTCTTGTGTTTCTGTCTCCTCCCCCTACTCCATGTTTCTTCATCTCTCCACATCCCATACTGTGAACATGCACAAGCATCCATCATACTTGAGCTCTGTTTCTTGTTCAAATCATATTTAAGTTTACAAGTGCATTGGGATAATTCTTGAATATCCCAACAAAATATATGCCCAAATGTATCTGGACACCCCCTCTAACAGCTTTGGCTAGGCCGTTTAAAGGTATAGTTCACTCCTGTCATCATTTACTCACCATGTTGTTCCAAACACTCTTTATTTCTGTGGAACACAAAAGGAGACATATTGAAGAATGTACAAGTAATTTTTTCATGCAATTTCAATCAAACAATGATGCAAAAGCATTAGAAAACTGGTAAAAGTGGTCCATACGTTATATTTCATGTCCTCTGAATTCGTACGATAGTTTTGTGTGAAACAGACTGAAGTTTAAGTTATTATTCACTAAAAAGCTCAACATTTTCTCTGTATAAAATCAGTTAACTGTTATTGAGTTAGTGTTCCAGGTCAGTTTGAAATCATTCACTCTGGTATTGTGAACTGGCTTAACTGATTAATTGGAAAGACCTGATTCAAAAGAACAATTGGTTGATGAATCAGATTTCACAACTTCTCACCAAGATGTCAAGTTTTTTGGGAATAATGAAAATTTTTAGTCTGTTGCTCACATGAAGCTCATGTCTTGGAATATAGCATACATTTTGTGATACCACTTGAGCTAATAGTGTTCCTGTATATCAGTTGGTAGACCTTAATGATAGCAACATAAAAATGATTTACTGCTTAAAATTCAGATTGAACCTCATTGAACACCTTTGGGATGAGCTGGAATGCTGAATGTGTGCCAGATCCCATTGGCCAAAATTGGTCCCTGACCTCACTTATGCTCTTCTGTCTGAATGGGAGGAAAATCCCTTTAGCCATGTTCCAGCATTAAGTGGGAAAGCCTTCCTAGAAGAGTGCAAGCTGTTAGGGAGGGGCATTAATGCCAATGGTTTTGAAATTAAATGCTCAACAAACACAGCAGGGTTTAGTTAACCGCATATGTTTGGCTATATTGTTTAACAATGGAGAATTTTTTATTAGAACAAATATGACTCAGTGTTTGCTTTGTTTCTCTCTTAGGTTTGCATATAGCTGGTGCAATTTTGGCTTTGTTCAGTTTGTTTCTGATGATCATGGGTTCTGTGTGTATCACTATGTCTCTCAGTAAGAGTGTGCCCTTCTTCCTCAAGCCTGCTACTATCTGCTTCATCTTCTCAGGTACCTTTTAAACACCTCTTAACTGCATTAATTGACTTTAAAAAACACCAGCATCTGCAGTAAATCTAAAAAGTAGTCATAAAGGAGGCTCAGTTTTATTGAAGCTTCCTGGGGATTGGCAAAGGTCAAGCGCAGTGTGTCCCATTGCTGAGATTCTGAGCTTAAACCTCAGTCATCTCATTGTCAGGCATCTCAAGAAATACAGCTGGCTGTATTTCAGTGTCACTTCACTAATCATGTGTAATCGCTCGTATTTATTTTGAGTTTGTGTAGGGCTGGACGATATGGCCAAAATGTATATCACGATATATTTCTTAATTTCGGTCGATACGATATAATTCCGATATCGATATGAACACTATTAAAAAAGCCTCATAAAAACGGCCAAGAACGGCCACAACAGATGTCTGTACCTACAAACTTATGAAAAATGTATTTGCCAACTCTATGAAACCTACTCCTATAAACTAAAATATTTTAGGAAAAAAATGGCGCAAATAAATAAATGTTCACCTTTTATTGGTATTTAGCCTTCATACAAACAAGAAATGTGAAATGACTCTCCTTATTAATATTAATATTTTTTATTTCAAACTATAGGCTAACATACCAGTCAAAAGTTTTTGAACAGTAAGAATTTTAATGTTTTTTAAAGAGTTCTCTTCTGCTCACCAAGCCTGCTTTTATTTGATCCAAAATACAGCAAAAACAGTAACATTTTGAAATATTTTTACTATTTAAAATAACTGTTTGGAGCGGTGGAACTAACGGTTTCTCCAGTAATGGCTGTAAACAAAGCAGCTCCGCTCATGAATGCTACTTTATCAGATAAAAATGCCATCTAAAATTTTCTGAAGACAGTCGGTTCCCTTCAGAGATACATTCATATAAAACACCCGTGACGCGTTTTGATTTTGAAACATGCAGTGCTCATGTTTATTCAACAAAGTCAAACGACACAAATAAATGTAAATGTATATTGAAATATCGGAAATGTGTTTAAAAAGCATATCGCCGTTATTGAAAAGAATTATATTGCGATACATATTGATATTGAATTATTGTCCAGCCCTAAGTTTGAGGTATATAATAAGAAAATATTGTCCCTGATATACTCACGGTGAAGTTCTTTTTCGTTCTTTGCTTGAACGAGGTGAGACAGTAGTGGGAAAACAGTAGTTAAGAAAGCATCTGATCGTAGCGATGTGATGTTTGCACCAGCTCTGCAATTCAGCACTCCAGTCAAGTCATGTCACGTTTATTTATACCTCTCTTTATACAATAGATTGCTTTAAAGCAAGCAGCTTTATAGTATGAAACATGAAAAAAATCCAATTACTTCCTATTAGAATTACAACCTCAATTACTACTATAAAGCAGCTCTTCAGTGTGTTCATGTTTTCACTCAAGTCTGACCTCAAAGAAGTGAACTTTTAATGAGTCACTTAAAAAAAATGAAAAAGCCTCAGTCTCACGAGTTTACACATTTAAATCAGACTCAAGCTGATTTTTGTTGAATTGTTACTAACTTCTTAAGTAACTCCCTCACTGAACTGCAAGTCATGGAAATTAACAAGAAAGCACTACTGTGATGTGTACTTAATTAAAAATAGAGATTTGTTAGAATCAATTAATAGTTGCATTACAAGAAAACATTTAAATATTGTAAACAAAAAAATTTTAATGCTCAAAAAAGCAACAGTTTGCATCAATCTTTTTGAGTTGAAATTAATGAAGTTATGTGTAACTAACAAAGTTAGAGGAACTTCATTTGTAGCATAAACAAATTTTAAAGTTGTTTCAACTAATTGGTGTCTATTTCAGTTCAACCCCCAAAAACCAACATTTTAAATGTCAACTTTCAAATGCCAAGCATAACATACATGACAAGCATAACAAACAATAACAGGTCTTTCCCAGTCCAATTTTTAGTAATCAAGATAATTTCATTAAGTTAAAAAAATTAAATCAGTTAACAGAAATGTCCAGGTATGCTTAATATGTTGATGTAATTATCAACTCATAAGCTCAACTAAATAATTTTGCAACTTAAAAGATTTAATTAAATCAATAATTTAGTATATGTTAACTTGTAGCCTTGCATTTAAATTATTTAAACCGCAACAAATATTCTTCCAAAATGCAGTGATATTTATATGACTAAAATACAGTCAAGATCACTAGAGTATCAAATCGGAACTAATTTACATGAAATGTGCCTATATAACTTAAACTGTCAGCATACAGTGACTGCTGTTGCAAGCTAAATTAGGAAGCTTTGTAATGTGAAGCTCTGCTGAAAAAATCTTTATTGAGCAATTTCATAATTTGTCAACTACATATGTAATTCTGCTCCTAAATGTTTCATGTTGAATCCAAATAGGTGAACCTGTTCATTGAAATAAAATGATCTTTTATCTCCACTTTCCCCAGGTGTCCTGGTCTTCTTGTCCATCATAGTTTTCCACCAGTCTGTGCTGGCGTTATTGGCAAGCGATCACAGCATCCCTCTCCATCACCAGTTGTCCTGGTCAGTGGCATGCCTTGGCTCGGCTGGGGCCATTCTCATTTTTGGAGGGCTTATATTCCTGTTGCTTTCCCTCCCCTACAACCCCCTGGAGAAATGTTTTCCTCAGCAGAGCAGTAGTGATGCCTAGCGGTCAGGGGGACTGCCCATGAGTTAAGTAGCACAAGATCTTTTATACTCTTATGCTGTTTGTGGAGATTAACTGATGTTATAAAGGACTCTCAAAAGCTAATGTTCATAATGTTTTGCAATAACTAGCATTAGTTTGCTTATCAATAAGATTATAGACTTTAATGCTCATACACCGACTCTGAAATTTGAACTGATATTTCTATGATGGTTATGTACATAAAATCAGTGACCAACAGATCTGTTTACTGTCTTTAAAGGCTTCATTTACACAACACGTTGTGCTATTATGCATTGTCCCTGTGCATTGGTATAAGAAACCTTATTTGATTACTAGGCATATAATACTGAATTATCAGGTATCTGTGGTTTGAAAGTGTACTTTTTTTTTTTTTTTAAATAGGCCATCCTATCATTGCTAAAGTCCTGTTCACACCAAGTGTCATTAGTGTCAGATAACGTTCTGCTTATTATAAGAGCACGCTGCAGTTTTGTCGTACGCCGCCTTAAATGCTTGAGCTCTTTAAAGTTGAGTGGATTCTGACTGGCTGTCAGTGTTTTTATCATTCATCAGCTAAAAAAAAATCATCATGAAAATGATTCCAGCAATATTGTTCCTCTGTGGCATTATTGTTATAGCTGTGGTGTGGACTTCTCTATTCTCATAGAATTAGAATGATTACTAAAACTTTACAGTTATAGTTACCATTGTAGTTATCATCCTTGGTGCAAGATTATTATTTCAACTGAAAACCAGCTTTTCAAGTTAGTTTGTGCTAGTAAGTGATGGCTTGTGAACCATCATAGCCTTGCTGTTTAATAGCAAAACTTGGCAGGTGAGCTTCTTTGACCAGAGGTGTCTTTATGTTGAAGCTGGTTGACCAACAAAGGTTTGCTAGTGAGGCTAGTTATAAAACCAAATGGGGACATCAGCACACTAGCATCACAACATATGCTTGTGACCAGCTACAGTGATCCTAAATGCAACACTTTTGGACACATTTAAAAATGTGAAAGTAATTGTTTAACAATATATCAGTTGTTCTATGAACCTTGCGAGTTTTTTATTTAATGTTTTACTTGGGAAGTGTCCTTGTCCCATCTTTCTTTCAAATAAATTATACTTGGTTTAGTAATCAGCAGACTAGATTTCAATGCATAGATTTGGGATGGTTTATTTATATAGATGTTTAATACTATACATATGAAGCAGATGCGTTTCTATTGTGTGTATAAAAATGATGTACGAAATCTATTGATGTGGATGACACAGACCCACTGTTGAGCCATTTTTATGTAAATAGTGTGTTTACTGTATATTGTACTCCAGCTTTTCTTTAGACACTGTCCCTCACTGAACTTTCTTCTTTCTTTCATGTATGTTCTTCACTTGGTTGTTTGTGTCATTCTCCATTTGTCACGCTCTTTCTCGTTTACTAGATTTGCTTGAGGATTAAATCTCTTTCACCTAAAACAGTCTCCTGCACTCCTTCCCTCGATTGTTTCTCAATCTCACTCCTTCTCTTTTGCCACTCGCTCCGTCTAAAATTAGCACATTGCTCATCTAAGCACATCAAGTTGAAGTGGATGCGAAATATTATCCTAGAATGTCAACTATGCCCCCCCTCGACGTTCTCTCTCGATGTTGATGGCTCTTGAGTGTCTCCGAGGGTTTGGGTGGAGCTGCTGTTTCGCTGCGTCTGCTGTCCCGTCCCTCCTCTCCCACCCAAGTGTTTGTGAATGCAGTGCCAGTATGTTTGGGAAGTGAGAAAAGGTCTGAGCCTCAGTAATCTGCATGTCTTTCATCCAGTCTAACTGGAGCCTCCATCCTGTGCGTAACAATCTAAATCTCCTCAAACCTCAGAAATGACAGGTGGCGAGCATGTTCCTGGAGCAACCGTCTCAACATGTCCTACAGTGTGCTTATTACTGGCTCTTTTAATTTGGTGAATCTGTATCGGGTCTGTAGCATAAGAGCATGTCGGTTGATCTGATGGGGGGAGTATGGGTGGTGGGTGCGGAGTAGGGAAATTGGAGCTGTAGGCTGACACTCAAGCCAGAGGTCTGCTTGTATATATAGTCCTTTAATAGTGCCTGTCAGACTAGCGAGCTGTTCTTTCACTTTTTATGTGTACGAGCACATGGGGGGAATAAACAGAATCTGCTGGCACAGGTTTATTAATTGGTGGTCGGGACCGAAAAGAGTGCATGTTTGTGGGTGGGTATAATAAAACCCTCTCTAGACAGTCCTCCAATAGTGAGAACGTGATGGCCCGCCCATCTGGAAATTGGGAAAAAATTAGGTCAATAATTGTCTACCATATTACAGAGAAGTAAAAAAAAAAAAGTTCAAATATGATTCTGCAAAATATCTAATTACATCTCAAGGTACTGTTAAAAGGAAGATAGGTGTTAAGACTTAAAGAGAAAATTGGTTCATAACCTTTTGACTCCTGTTGTTTAAAACAATATTCAAAGGCCGTTACTTTTCCAGTTGAAACTAAACAGTTGTTGAGTGGGTGAATTGGTTTGGCTTATTTTAATTCAAATTTTGTCTTATTTAAATAATTTTAAGTCATCTTGTGTCCTCCTTGAAAGTTTGCTGAGGCCCGCTGGTTGAGAGCCACTGTATTAGTTTATGGAAATGCATTTTGTCCTCCAGAGTAAAAAAAAAAAAGATAATGGTGACTTTATTTCACAGAATTTAGAATTTATGACTGTCACCATTGTATTGCAACTTTTTGTGACCTTATATCTTATGACTTTCGGTATTTTAAACATTATCTCACAATTATTGTATTTTTACTTTCAGATGGAAATGCACTTTCATAAAAGATCATCTTAGTTATCTTCTATGGATATAAGATGTTAAAAACACACAAATGACATCACTCGTAGATTGTCTGTTGTTTCTTTTATATATAAAATTCGTGCAATACAGTGTTAGAGTTTATCACACATTAAGATAAACCATATTTTCTCTAGATAGATCTATTCTCATCTACATAATATTTATAACTGACCACATAAATGCTGTGTAGTTTTTCACATTTTTTTATGAATTAAAAAAGACCCCCAATTGCAGGAGATTGTGATTCGATGCCCATTTGCACTCTATTATGTAATGTCCTGTGTTGACCTCTTGTTGGCTGGGATCATGGAATAAAGGTTAAAGGTTAGCAGAATGTCCACATATATATATAATCTCTCATTTAGAGAAGCAGATGGTTCAAAAGGAGTCAGGTGAAGCACAGTGACGTTTGTTTTTGTTTTGTTTTTTTGGAGGGGAGCTTTGCCTTTGGGATGCTGTCATGATCACATGACACAGTGAAGGGAAAACACAAATGACACAGGGCATGCCTCAACATATGAGTTTAGGCCAATCAGAGCTCAAGGAAGACAGTGTCCTCATACATATTCAAAAAAAGCCCCACCCACCCATTCTACCCTTTTCAATACACGAAGACCCCCTTTCACATCTGTACTCTAGATTTTTAAAGTATCTCTTTTTTTTCCAAATAAAAAAACAATTGTGTATAATATACATTTGCTTTTCAAAATGTAGCTTTTTTCCATCCTCTCTCCCTCGGTCCGATTTGAAAAGCATAGTTTTAGATAGAAGTCCCTCTTCTGAATGTCATCATTCATCATTTTGTCTATACAAATATATCATCTGTCCCTCTTTTACCAAGTGAGGGAATGGTTTAATGCCCCAAAACAAAGATTTTCAATGCAACAAGTGCTACTTCTACTGCTAACAGTGATTTTAACAAAAATAATATGATGGTAGGTTTATATAAAAATCTTTTTTCATTTGAACTCTGTCATTTCAGTCCATCAATTATGGTGCTGATCTCTTTACTGAGCTGGAAGACGGATATACAGATATTACACACTAAATTGCATGTTATCAAAGGGTAGAAAATAAAACTTTCTTTAAAATAAATAAAATGCTTCTCACAAAGTTAGTTGTAATAATAATCTCATTCTCACATATTGAATACACTCATGTTTCTGCAGTGCTCAGTATCACGTTTTGGACTTTTGAAAAGCATAATACTCTTTCTAGTTTAAAAACTAGAATCATTCATTAAGTTGAGAGCTAGCAGAACAAACGTTGTCGTAATAACAACAACACTTCACCGTCTTGAAATTCCACATCTAAAATCAATAATATCACAGTATCCCATGATTATAGTTTCATTAAGATTACATGTTATAAAACAGTACTGAAAAACACATGAGAGTGTTGTTGTTATTATGAGAGCTCTGTAATTCTTTTACCCTTTATTTTTTCATAAAGTGAAACATTTGTCAATGCCAAGAGTGTTACCCCTTCTTTTAGTTGTTTCCAGTCTTTCCGTCTACGTTATCTACACCAACCCTCTATCTGTCTACACTGGTGTAGTTTTCCTGTTTAGTGTGTTGGAGTTACTCTCTCTGTCACCTTTTCCTAGCCTATCCAGTGTTCCCATCCCTCGTTCCCGCTCCACCGTAGAGGAGGAGAAAGGTGGAGGCTGGGAGGATGAGACGGAGTTGCTGAGCGGCGCGTTGGAGTTGGAAGAATTCTGGACAGCTGAGGGATTGTGGGATTTTAGCGAGGGCAGCGTCCCACTCATCATCATGCCTCCTCCGCTCTCTTTAGGGAAGCAGTTGTGTAGCTGGTATAGTGTGGCACGGTCCACGGTGCCGTACAGTGGGGGGGCTCCCAGCCCTCCTAAACCACCCAGTTTGGGGTCTCGGGAGAGGGTGTAAAGGGAAATATCGCCCCCTGGCAGAGCGGAGCGGGAGTGAGGGTTGGGAAGAGTGGACACAGAGATGGGCCCCTGGGAGAGTAAAGCAGACGGGGGCATTCCAAAGTTCTTACCCCCCGGTGGGCCACCCACGGGAGACGGGTCTCGTGAGCGTGAGGGGTCGGTGGATCGAGAGCTGGAACGCGATCTGCGGCGGAAACGGTAGCTTGGGAGCCGTAGCATGGCATGAGTGGTGCTTTTAAAGATATCAGTACGAGAGCGACAGCGGAGCTCCTTGTTCTTCTCGATGTAGATGTTTACCGCCAACACGCCCACCATCTCAGCCAGGATGAAGGACAGCCCACCAAAGTAGAAGGACCAGCCGTAGGAGTACTGCCATTTCTTATCCTCGTCCTTCTTTGGGGAAATGTCACCCAGAGCGGCAGAAATGTACACTATCACACCAATGATGTTACTCAGGCCTAAAGATCAATGGTCAAAAAACATGCCAACTGATCAAAACTCTCAGGTACAGATAAACACAGTAATATGCAGCTTTTGTTTGCAGAATAACAGAGATTCAGAAGCATGGCAATTAGGTTTTATCAGATAAAATGTTTCTCATTTTACAGTAATATTGTGGTTCATTCTGTACAGACATGCAATTTAATACATTTTGTAGTATTGTATTTAGCATTTTGTGATGTTTTCTGTCGTCAGTATATACTGGACATACAGTGGGGTCCAAATGTTTTAGACCACTAGTGCAAAAGCTTTTATTTAGCATTTTTCTCATTTAATATTTTCTTACTGATAAAAATATATATTTATA